CCTGTTGCTGCTGCTCTTGGGGGAGACCCAGCTCTCAGTCCACGAAGGCTGCTGGCTCGTTACCTTGCACCAGGCTAGACGCTGTGGACAATCTCCCCGAAGGTCAGAGCCCCCTGGGAGCAGCGCGGGGCCCGGCTGCCCTGGGACTGCTCCCGCTGGGCTCCTCTGGGAGTGACGCTGTCGGGTAAAGGGGGGCTCACGGCCTGACAGGGGCAGGACCCATGGGGCAGGGAGCTCTGTTCCCCCGTCTGTCCGTAGCGAGTCCCTCTCTGCCCGACTGCTGCTCTGGGATCAATCCTGAGTCTCTCTCTGCTTCCTTTGTGCAGCGTAACGGGGCCTGTCGGACGCTGCGCCTGGAGGGGTCCCAGGGAAACCAGCACAGACTGATGGCCCTGCACCCACCCATCAGCCCCTTCCCGTCTCCTCTGAGTGTCCTGGGAGGGGCTCCGGGCCCTGCTTGCTTTGCCAGTTGATGGAGCGTTGGCCAGGAGCGTCACTGACGGCCGTGGCAGGGAACCGGGAAGTGACGGAGGCATTTCAGTATTTGCTGCGTTTGTGTCCTGAGCCCTCCTGCTGCCGGGCGCTGCTCCTGCCCTAGACAATGTGATAGAAACCTGAGCCACAACAGCTGCTGTGCGAGGGCTGGGCTGGGCTGGGGCCTCCTGCGGTACCTGCCCCAGGCTGAGCCAGCACCAGGCCTGGGAGTGAGGGACAGGAGCCGTTTCTGAACACAGCCAGGCCCCCAGCTGGGATATGTGGGTTCAGGGGAGCCCCAGCTCCCGTCTCCCACAGCAGGGCTGGCTCTAGTGTGGTGCTATTCCCTGGGCCGTGTGATGGAGCTGGTCAGATGAGATCATTATGGGCCCCTCTGGCCTTAACATCTAGAGATCCATCGTCCAGGCAGCACGTGCACCAAGCCCATTGTTAACGGGGGAAGGGGCCATCGGCCGATTCCCCTCAGCAATCGGGGTGAAGGACCCTTAGGTATTGTGCTCTCGCTCTGGGGTTCTCAGTATTCCCCTCTTCGGCTCCCCGCAGTCTGCACTCGGAGCCTTGCATACCCCCAGGACAACCCAGCAATGGGAGAGGAGCCAGCGACAATCAGTCCTCTGCGGGGGAGCGTAGATGAGAGGTCTGCTGGGTCATCTGAACATGCCTGACCTGTGTGAAGGGCATGAAACTAGGGGGCAGCAATGAGGGGGGGGGTCTCACCTCCCAAAAGCAGAGGGGAGGGGAGCTGGGTGGAGTTCAGCCTCTGTCCATTTCCCCATGTGTGTCTGTCACGGACTCACAGGACGTGCCCACTCTTGGCCCCGTGGGGTCCGTGGGGGGTGCCCCTGTTAGTGAGACAGCCCTTCTTGGGGGTCCACTCTCTCCCGGGGTCAGGCCCCTCCACCTCCTGGATTCGCACCTCTCTGAGCCTTAGCACGTCTGTCTCTGCCGTGGGCCTCCTCAGGGAGTCCCCTAACTCTGGACCCCCCGGGCCTCCACCCCCGAAGGGGTTGATGCAACCCCGTTCTCTAGACCGGAGTGACTCTCAGCCAGCATAAAACAGGAGGGTTTATTGAGAGTTGAACACAGCCCAGGAAACTCTCAGGGCCTCAGGCCTGGCCTCCCTCAGCCCAGCACATCCCAGTCTCTCTGCATCCAGGTGGGCTCTGCCTGCTCCCCCTCTCCAGCCCCGAGCCCCCCTGCTTCCAGCTGGGCATCAGAGATCACCGGCCCCAGGCCCCGCCTCTGTCCATTGTCTTCTCTCCAGGTAAACAGGGTCGTAAACCGGGGCCTCCTCTCCTCGCTTCTGTCCTCTGGCTGGAACCGGCTGGTTAGGTCACTGGGTCCTCACTCTGCAGCCCATTGTCCTCCCACTGGCCAGAACTGGCTGCGTCTCCTCAGCTGGGCCTCCGGGTCACCGGTCGCTGGGGTCTCCATCCTCCAGGCCATTGGCTGGGTCCCCACGTCCTCTCTCCGGTCCACTGCAAAACAAACTCCCTCTCTCCTCACCTTGTTAAACCAGTAACACCCAGGGAAACTGAATCCCACCCCCGCCGCATGCAAACCATTGAAACTCCACAGAAAACAAGAAAACCCCCCACTTCGTCACAGTGTCTTTTTGCAGTGGCTGAATGCAATGGAGCCCTTCCCTGCTCTAGCGTGGCTGCATCTGTCTCTCCTTCGGGCCTGTCTCTACGTGAGGCTGGCAGTGAATTTGCTTCTCCGTGGCCGTGGTAAAGCAAAGAAGTCTGAGCTGCCCCTGAGACAGGAAAAGCGCCAGCGTGGGCCCCACACAACCCCAGCTCTCAGTTCCCCACACTGCGGGCTGGGGCCGTGCACAGAGCTGCCTATCGCTGCACGTGCTGCTGACACACAAACGACACAACTTGTGAAGAGCTCACGTGAGCTTTTATGGAGGCAAAGCCTGTCCAGCCAGCGCCGCAGGCCAAGCCACGGGTGGTAGAGCTGCTCCGGCTAGCTCAAACGGCCACAGCCCGTCCACGCTAACAGGCTGGTGCACAGGCCCCTGGGCGCTGCTTTGCCCTGGCACCCCAGGGCCACCCAGAGGATTCAGGGGGCCTGGGGCAAAGCAATTTTAGGGGCCCCTTCCAAAAAAAAAGTTGCAATACTATAGTAACGTATTTGGAAATCTAAAACATAACCAGTGACATACATTCAAAAATTAATTTGTAATAATTTTAAAATACACTAAATACATTATTTAAAAACATTACAAGCTGTAATGGTATGTCGACTTTTGCAATTACATCATGGGCTGTTGCTGGGTGATGGGGTTGGTGATGGTTGGTGCCAATGGGCTGTCGCTGCCTGGGGGTGGTGCTGCTGTTGCCCAGGGC